TATAAAATCTATAAATAGGTTAATGGGAAAGGCATAAATACATTTTTCTTCATATTTTAATCGTTATAACGTAGATGTATAAACTTCGAAGGTACCTACGTACTGTAGTACGGTATTTGTATTTAACAAGGATTACAAATATAAATCAATTCATAATTTAAGGAATCAAAACTAATGTATTCAGTAATAAAAAAAATATTCAAATAGGGTTCTTCAAATACCTACTTTAAAATCAAAAGTATTTAAAAAAGTTTTCAACACTTTAACTCAAATACTTTACAACACAGGTTGTAGTCAGAGGTGGACGTAATACTTGTGAACAAATAAGTAATAATCTGCAAAGGCGTTGTTGTTCTAGGAACCTCAAATATAATATAAATTAGGTACAAGTACATATTTCAATCTCAATATATTATAGGTATATTGATTAATTATTATATTTAATTCAGGACAACATTTTGCATTTTAAAATGAACATGTATTGCAGTTGGCCATTATTTCGGTTCGAAATTATTTATTGCAATCGACATTTACTACGACGTCTGTCGTAAAAATGCAATTGTATTAGGTATTTGTATATACATATAAATACTCAGAAAATCAAATATGTATTTAAGCACGTACTTTTTGACCTTAGAAATCCGTGTTGTATATATATGTATGTATATATATATTGTATACTCATATATGGAAGATGAATACCACAATAGTTAACATTTGATTATATTTCTCAACGTTTTCAAAATCGTATAGATTCCGTAGAAACTTTATAAAAGTTAATATTCAACGGAATCGTTTTAAAACCATTTATAGCCGATTTATGATCAAAACACTAATCTTTTATATACAAATTACAATAACGGATATATATATATATACATTTTATTTTCTGACCTTAATCCAGTATCGATAGAAAAAAAACAGATCATCAAATAATATTGTTGGATATTACACTATCAAAAATAACAGACGTATGATTGACAAAATATAATGTTAGTGAAATAATAAAATAGAGATATTACATTTTAAAATGATGTCCTATCGAAAACCTTGATAAAAAAAAATTAAAATCAATATTTCATGGCGGTCACTGAGTATTAATTAATTAATTAATTAATTCAATATATATAAATAATACATGAAGTTTCAACCTCAACACGTATAGTCGGTACTCACTACTCGACGTGTTCTTACTGAGTCCCGAGTATCATGTTAATAAAAAAATATTACTGCAGTAATAATTTTCTAGTGTACCATTCTTACTGAATGCAAATCACTACTCAAATATTATAATAATATCATATTATACTAATATCATCACTAAGCTTTCCACCGTACACATTTCTACATTATCCCGTAAGAATTATACTTTGAACAATAATACGTTTTCCAAAATTAATAAATTCTTCATTCATTAATATTGCTTTTTTTTTTAAGTGACAAAACGATGATCCATTAAATCTTTAACAGATGATGGTCATGCAGCTGGTCATAACTTTGTTTGAAATTAAATCGAAACTATTTCGCACGTCTATTTGTAATAAGTTATTAATATGAACATACTATATGACAGTATATCAATCAAACATCGAATTTAATATTTATTGTATTTAATCCTTACTTTAATAATTTTACTATCGTTCTTAAAATCATATGTATGCACATTGCACGTATTATTTAATTAATTATCAAACTTAATGAAAAACAATCAATTCATATATTTTATCCCAGTGTCTTGCAGTATTACTTTATATTTTAACATATTATAAATTATGCATTTACTAATAAAACATTATGAATACAATATAATATCTTAAGATGTACCATACAATAAGTTGTGTAAAACGGACGAGATGTCTTTTTATGAAGCAATATAATTTGTACTATTATCGGGTACATATACAGATATCCCTCGAATTTTTCCATACCAAAGTCATCTGCGTGCCTATATAATCAGTATATAAAACAGACATAGTAGCAAAAATAGTAAGTCATATTTTTATCACCGTGAATTGTATAGTTTTTAACGAAAAACACAAAAAAAGAACAAAAAATTTCACCGAGACAGGTACCATTGTTTATTATTTTATATAATAAAGTAAACAAGTTAGTGACCTCTCACCTCCGGATGACGTCATTGACAATCATCGTTTAATTTAATAACATACTACAAAAGTCTGACGTTTGTGTGCTGTATACAATATAATGTACATCTGTACAAGCACACGTCCTAAACTACGGTTTTGTAGAACTACTGTTCGGCGCCAAATTCACATTTTGCGAAGGACCTCTGTCTTTAGAGGTTTTACGCGCATTACGACCGTGGGGTTTGCAAGTCAGAATGACGATGATATGTGAATAAACAAGTATAGTCGTATCATTGGTTGCAAAATGCTGCACAACTATTATCATTATTATTATTACTATTATGGTAATAAAGTAATATAAATACTATATGATTATTATACAGTCTGTGTATACATTCACAGGGTACGGAAAAAATAAAAACTATAAAAATATCAATATCGTGATGAGAAATTATTGATTTTTTCGTATAATATCGTCGTTTACTTTCTGTAGCGTCGTCTCGGGGGGACTGGACGTCATGCTGCTATACGGCCTACGATGTGACTGTACAGCGTTAACTTATGATCAAAATCATTTTGGTCACTGAATATCATATATAGGTGCATGATACAAATATAATATAGTATTAGATAATTTAGACCCGAGATTTTATAACGTTTATATACATTTATTGGCCGTTTTCCGTAAGAGCCCCTTCTTGAGTACATATTTTATCGTCACTACCGAAGTTCTGGCTAATTGGAATTTTTTTTTACTTTTCATTTTTTACGTCTCCATGAAATATTATCTGAAATAAAAAGAAAATCTTATAAAACATGTAGGTACAGGCATAATAATAATATATTGTCATAGCGGGTCCATGGAAATAAGATATTAAATATTAATATCGCGTGGCTTGCGATTTATTATACTAAGAATAACCAAAATAAGTTAACCTTGTGAGGTTAAATCAGTAATAATTTTTACTTTTAATATACTTACAATATGATTATATTCATATCATAAAAATATGTCCCACAAAAATATCATATAGTATAATATAAATTGTATTTCAACTATTTTTTTATTATAGCACACCGATTATCGTAGTAGTTATGATAAAATAATGAAATAATAATTTTGATAATGTGAATAACTATTGTAGTTTGGGTCGTTTAGGAGATACTTAACGATAACAATAAAGAACTTGTTTATTAATTTATATCAGCAATCTTTATAATAAATACAAAATAATCAACAAAATGACAGGTTTGCGACCAACAATTTAGGAGGTAGTATATGGTCAACTGGTCAGATGAGATGTACATTATGTAGTGGAGGGAGAAAAAAGCATTGCACAAGGGGGATGAATATTGAGGGAAATGAATATGAATGGAAAGAAAGCAGATGTGAAAACGTGACTATAGTGTGTCGATAAACTGGAAGTGTAGAAAACCATGGTGTGGGGGGGGGGCATAATGATTATACAATATACATGTATGCATTGTTTTTGACTTATGTCATGAAGAAACGTTTTTGGGCTGATTAATACATTGTTATACTATAATTCTATATGGTTTTTTATTGTATTAGTATTTACTAAAATATTTTATTGTTAAACTTAAATATTTCTTAACATAATAATTTATTATCTAAATTGTACAGTTGTAACAATAAAATGTTATATACGAGTAATGTTTTCGGTAGATACCTTGGGCTCGATTATATAAATTGTATTATGTAATAGCTATAATATCTAAATCAATCACCAAACGGATTATATAATTTATTCCAACTTAAAATTTTAAACTAACTCAATAATACTAGGGATGGACAAAGTTTATTTTTCTTCATATCCTCTAATACTATTTTGCACAACAGTATTATATTTTAGCCATTTTATTAAATCTTTTTTCTCTTTTCCAACTATTATTTCTAATATTGAAATAACTAAACTATAAACAAAAATAAAATAATTGTGTTTTAACTTATTTCATGAGTATTGTTGTATCTAATAAAGTTTTCACATTTTTTAAAAACATTATATTTTCAATGAACTAAAGAAAATTAATTTACTCAGAATACACAAAATTAAATTCACATTGACTCATTTTATGATTAAAATAATAAAAAAAGTATACTTCTTTACTTCGAATATAAGTATAATTAAATTAAAATGTATTTAAATATACTAAAGTTATTAAAGTAGAATAGTACATAATATATGTGCATATAAATATGTTGTATACATATTATAATCATACTGATGTTGGTGTATTCAACGTTTTCAACCATATAAAAGAATCATTAACATAAAAAAATAAAATAAAATATTTAAAATTACCTTCTTTTAAACATAATTTTTTATATATTCAACGGAAATGTACCTATCTGAAATATTAAGTTCGATGAGGGGTGACATTTGAAATGTTATGTGTGATTGAGAATTTCAGGATTTGTTATATATACAATGTTTTGTGGGACAATAGTGTATATGAATAATTTAAGTACCTTATTAGGTAGGTATAAAAATATTCATAATATATCAGATTGTTAGATGGAAAATACAAAGATTCTAATTTAATTCTATAGTACAATATATATTATATATTGGACTGCTGCAAATTTTTAGGCTTGCCAATTTGTTAGCATACCTTTCAAAAAGTTAAAATTACGCTTTTGGGTACGATAATATAATTTATCTGAACAAATGATTACAATTAAGTTATTATTTTTTTGTGTCATTATTAATTATCCTAATATTTAGATGTACCATGTACAACATAATGTATTGTCATCACAGAAATTATTGTTCAAGTAGATTGTATAGTTACGTAAATACATAGTTATGTAATTACATATTTTTTTGTTAATACTCAAATCATTACAAAAATAATTTTTACTTTCCCTAATTCTTTTTGATGTGCCAAAAAATGGATAATGATAATTCCGATTATGATAGTTTGTCTGTCGAATTTGACTTCAGAGGAGATGCACCACCGACAGCTATGGACCCTTATCGTGATGATGTGATAAGCGATCGCCAACAAAGTATACTAAACGAGTTGAGAATAAATCTATGTAGGGAAGATTTAATCTATATAAATACTCATAAAGAAGTGAGCATCAATCATATCATTTGTAGTATACGGGCATACGGTATACCGCAATGTCAGTTCACCAACTTACATTTAGAATACGAGTGTAGGGGTATTCCATTCCTTATAGACTACAATACCATGAATATTACAATTACATTTTCATTCATATATTTTCTTTTTTACTATGTTTTTTGACGCGTCTTCGATCGCACGGGAAGGTAGAAGCGATAGCGTCGCTCTTGTACAATGACATTTTGAAGAAGTCACCTAAGAATCCATACACGCACGCCGCAAGTTACTTGACAAATCCACAGACTGCCGACCTGGTGGCTAACTTTAAGCGGTCCGAAGATTTCCAGTATGAGAACATTCTCAAAAAGGATCATCAACAATATGCGACGGCGGCAGTGGCAGTAAAAATAGCTACTAGTGAGCAGGGTAAGTCGGTAGAGACCAAGGACAAACAGACCGAGGAGTCAGAAGATGATGAGAACGATATGGAGGTGGACCAACATAACTTATCAACGGGGGATGGAGGGATCAGCTATGTAGCGGAAGAAGAGGCACAGATGACGGATTCCCAAAAAGACTGACTGTTTATTTGCTAGTCTCTAATAATTGAATAATTTTCATTGGACGTTGTACAAATCTAGGGTGAAAAGCCGAATAATTAAATATTTTAGTCGAAACTTCTCTTCTTATGATATTACTGTTTATTCTTATAATAAACTCGGCAGATTAAAATAGTGAATAACAATAATAACCAAAAGAGACATATTTAATTAGTGTATATAAGGAACTGAATATCTATTTGGAATTTAAATGTAATGTATTTATATTACAGTAGACAAATCCAGTGAGTAATCCACAACTGGTACAACTGAATTCTAATCATTGTTGTTTTTTTTTTTTTTTATCATAAACGAAGTTTCAAAATAACTTTTGGAGGTCGTCAGATTTTTGAGAAGCTATAACTATAAGTAAAATGAACATTTTTTCAGTGTTATAAACAATTATTTGCTTAAATAATTATTACGTAATACTTTAAATGGATTTGAATTAAATATACCCAATATTATAATATTAGCGAAATATTACATTACGTCATAATAGTACATAATAAAACAATTATACTATTAAAATTTTAATCGGAGTAAAACAAATAAACAAATAATGCTTAAAAAATATTAATAAGTTACAAAAACAATGATTTTAGGGTAAGAATTTATTTTTGATTAAGTTGATTTAAATAATAATAGCAAAAATATGCTAATATTCCTAAACTGCAGTAGTACCTATTAATATTTACTTATGAAAACTTGTGAAACTTCTTGAGAACGCAATTTGAATTCTGTCATTATGATACGGCACATTTATTTACCTTTAAATTAATATACAGATATGTAACATGAACTATGCGCTTGATAGGCTAAACATAGCAATTTATATACAACGCTAAATGCTAATGATAAATTGGAAGTAAAGAAGTTGACATCGCTAATGGTTAAACACGAGTTCATAGGTAACTTTATTAAAATAGACAAAAAGCTAATTAAACTGCAAAACCTAGTAAACCTAAAACTCATTGAACCGTGGCCAATTAATGACCAATTCGAAGACCAAATAGAAATGTCGAGTACCAAAGTTAATAGCGTTATTGCCATTGTATATAAGTCGTTCATCAGCCGATAAAGTTTGATAACACGGCGAACTTTGCACGGTCACCAGGCATGATTCAATTTAGTGAAATATTGATTATATTATATCGTGTTCAGTAGCAACAAACACTGATGCAGAAGCAGTGGGTAATGAATAAAGTTGTTAGCCAATTTCAGCAGTTTCCCAAATTTTTTTTTTCAAATCATAATTTTAATAAGTGACTGCACACTGCCCCTGCTCATCCTACACGGTGATTTTGTATTAAACTTTCTAAATAAACTGTAACTACTAACCAGCAATGTAATTATTGTTTCTATTTAAGTGATAGGATAAAATAAATAATACATAGTTAGGTTTATGTTGTAAAAAGGGCAACTATTAAGTTTACATTTTAAGGCTTCAGACACAATGTCTATCCTATCCTGCTTTATAGTGACTATACGTTTTATGATCGTATAGACGTATCGAGTTTCAAATGCTAAAATACATATTATATTCATTGGGGTTTTTCAAATAAAAAACTCATAAGATTAGTGGAAACTGAGCAGATCAAAACCCACCCATGTATCCATTGTAAGCAGAAAACAAACAAACTCGTGTGTTCGATTATTACCAGATATCGAGTTTCACCAGCGCTCTTTACGTACTTACTGATAACTTCACTACGCCCCACAGGCTGTGAAACGAGAATTTTCAATAGGTATGTTTCTGACACGAAAAACCTTCCCGTAGTCGTTTAAAACCACAGGCTTGCTTTTCGATCAATGGCGCGAATAAAATAGTGACAATCCCTTTACACAAACCTACTGTAATATTAAATAACCATATTCGTATAATAATCATCTCTTTGAGTAAAAATTAATTTTTTGTTCATCTATGTAAGATCTATCTTTTTAAGCACATGACTTGAGGCACGGCTGCCTACTTTTAGACATAACTTATACATAAATCATAAATAAATTTGGTCTTAAGTAAAGGCTACACATCAGTGGTTAAATTTCACATGAAAAAATAATAACATGCCCACTGCCTATAAACTTTTTGGATTATATTAAATTTCAATAGCTTTTTATTCTAAAGAAAAACATCTCCTATTTGAATGGATGGCTTAGATTAGTTTTTGATTAATTTATGGAAATCAACATCATTATTTAATCTTCAAGAACTTGATAGTCTCCACCGAAATGTTCATGAGAGAGCCCAATATAAGTGAACACCTATTCAAAAAGAAAGATATTTTCAGTTTTAAAACTAAATTCTTAATTTATGTAGATTAAATATTGTGTAGTATTATGTAGAATTTATAGAAGGATATGGCCATGTAGATGTCTTAATGAATATCTGTGTATAGATTTTTATGAAATTTTATGCATTAAAGTATACAGTGTTGGAACATAATTGCGTATAATAAGTAATACATTACTATATTACATATGAAATAGTTGATTATCGAGTATCCTAATTCGACTAAATCATTTAAAACCGTTGAAGTATATATTATATTATTATTAAGTATTCTTACCTATCTATTCCACTTTAAAAGTTTTAAATATTACATTTTAGAATGACTTATTACATAACAAGAACACAATGAACTAGGTAGTAAAAAGAGCATAAACACAATATGATTGTAACTGTATATTATATAATATCGAGGTTACAAGTAGTCAGGTCGATACATTTTTTTCTACGGTTGTCAAATTGTACAGTCTTAAAATAATAATACGTTTCCGGCTCACCACCATCGATAACGATGTCTGTTTAAGAGCATATCTAACGACCATATACCGACATAGTACCATGTATACAGACATTTCTTGGTCGATATATATAGCATATACGTAAGCATATGCAACGTTATAAAACTTGATGTGCTGTTTTTCAAACGGTGGGTTCTCGGAAAACGTTAAAGTATATGTTATTATGTGCTGTTATGTGGGACGAAACCGTTTTGTTGATAAAATAACGTGTCAGCAGATAAGTAGATATTTGTCGAAATATATATAGTACCTCATAATTCATTTGTTTGCTTTTGCTGCTGACCTTAAAAGTGTAAGTACTTTGCTCGACTTTCATATACCTACACACGAGCCATCAAAAGATTCCACTTGTATTTTGTTTGGTGAGGATCTTTTGATATTTGTCTCTGTGTAATTATAATACAAAACACTATAAATATTTACCTCTAGCCCTTTTTATCTCTTACTATATTAATTTTGTTTGCACACTGCCTATATAACTCTCAGTAAACCATTTATCACAAATTATTGTTAAGTAAAATACCAATTGGATTTTCTTATGGTTTATTAAATTAGCTTCCAATACCAAATAACAATCATTTATATCATAAAAAAACATGTGGAATAGTATAATACAATACTGGTATAAACTATAAGCGTGCCTATTATAAACATATAACTAACCATAAGTGTAATGTGTATAGTGCTTTATCACTAAGGTTTCAAACACTAAACTCATCCTAAATAATTTTAAACTTTACAGCACACGTCCCTAAATTGCATGCGTACGTATCGCACTAAAATGATGTCCACGCACCTCTATGAATTCGTGAGTAGTTGTTAAGATTCCTCACGGCACCACTTTCAAATAAGTAGGTATCAAGCTTGCGGTTGGACAAGGTCCATGGCTCATAAGATATTTATAAAGGGTATATCATGTACAGAGATCCACTGGATTTATTGACAGTTACTCATAGTTCACTATTATTTAGTCCAAAAATCATAAACTGAAAAACTTTGAAGATCTGCTGACAACAATTGCTGACAACATTTTAATGTTGAGGCTAAATTTATGTTTTAGATAGTGACAGACAAAAAAGTATAAAATACAATATTGTAAAGCACAACAATACAAATAGTTACCGATCAAAATATTTAATACATATGACTAAATTTTGTATACAAGTTTAAATAAAAAAAAGGTCTATAATTTACTTTAGGCATTTTTAAAATAAATTAATTAGCTCATTGTTAAATAGTGATGTATCTCGTTTATGCAATATTTGTAATTCAAAAAAGGTCTTGTTTTAATAACTTATTAATTAATCGGTATTTAAAATACAATCATATATAATACATATCATCTACAATAGGTTTCGAGTGGATTATTTTAATGGATATATTAAATTTGAATTCGATGATGTATCCTTGTAAACGAAAAACGATTTTATAACTATTAAAAGGATAGTAAATTACCTATATAATAATACGCGTAAATGTTTGGAGTCACTACTAGTAGTATCTTTTTGAATTAAAACAAAATAACAAACATAATTATTTGTGGTTTAAAGATGTTCTTTCAATCAAATTTAGGCTTAAAATGTAAATAAAAAAAAATTGAACTATTAAATAAAATTACAGATTGTATAATACACTACTGAAAAAAAAAAAAAAAGTTTTTTTTTTAAATTTCAACAGTAAAAATGTATGAGGAACCTTGTATTACAGTTTAAAGTTTATTGGAGAAAAATTGTCTATAGACATTTGATATGATTATAATACAATACAGTTATTTACTCGTAATATCTTGTAAAATCGTATTATTTTGAAAAAAACTAATAAGATTCTATTGGTTTTGTATTGACACCATCGCTTTTTAAATAAACAATGTTTTTAGAATGATTTAACCAACGTGATGTGTTGAAAACCAAAACCTTTTAAACAGTTTCTCTCTTATGATAGTAAAAGTACATGACAGTATGGTTAAAGTGGTATCATAACATTTTGCTGACACTCTCTTTCACACACATTAGCCAGGGATACATTTTTTTTTAAGATTCATGAATGTAAAGCATTTTGTTTAAATTGTCTATTAGATAGACAATATTGTATTACACCTATTTCTCAAATAATGTAAAAACCAAAACCAATATTCAATAGCTTAAGAACAGAGCTGATTTGTTTAACTTGCTATT